TTTCATCTTCTAGGATTAACTCTTACTTCTGATCTTTCTTGGAAACCTTATATCAAATCCGTTGCAAAATTAGCATCTGCTAAAGTTGCTTCTCTTTATCGAGCTCGACACTTTCTCACTCTGGATTCTATTATCTATCTCTATAAATCTCAAATCCGGCTTTGTATGGAATACTGTTGCCATATCTTGGGCGGATATTCTAATGATGCCCTTTCTCTTTTAGACAAGGTGCAAAAACGCATTGTAAACATAGTTGGACCTGCTCTTGCAGTTAACCTTTAACCTCTGTCACATCGTCGTAATGTTGCTTCTCTTTCTCTTTTCTACAAATACTATAATGGGCACTGCTCTAAAGAGCTAGCGTCTCTTGTGCCATCTACTAAAATTCATTCTCATGTTATTTGTCATTCAATTAAGTCTCATCCTTTTTCTATTACTGTTCCTAAGTGCTCCAAAAACTCTTACTCCTCTAGTTTTTTTCTTCGAACATCAGTTCTTTGGAATTCGCTTTCTTCATCTTGCATTCCTGATTCATATAATTTGCAATCTTTTAAGTCCTCTGTCAATCGTTATCTTGCTGAACAATCTTCATATTTTCTTTTCCAGTAACTTCCAACACAAATTAGTGGTTGCTTGCAGCCTTGTTGGAAGCAAAGATGTTTAAAAAAAAAAAAAAAGTATTATATAATTAATAAGATTAAATGTTAGACTTACTTTAGTTTATGACATTGTAAAGACTAACCAAAAGTCTCTAGAACCTAACATCTGATACTAGATACAAGATTTAGTAAACTGAGAATAACAGAACTTAACATCAGACAGGACTTTTGGCTTCTTGGAATAATAAAAGGACACTTGTTCTTCAGAGAGATTTTTGTAAAAAAGATGAAATAAAATATCAATAAAGCAACTGCTCAAGATGGTGAAAAATATTGAGTAGAATGAGGTTTGACTTAAAAATGAAGAGTAGGAATAAAAGCTTCTAAACTTCTACAGAAGGAATAAAAGCTTCTGAGATACGCTTTATTCATGCATATTATGGACATAAACATATATGTTTGCTATTTATTTAGATGCTGGCATAAAATATCAGGCCTTGTTAAGAAATGTTACAATCGCATTTTACGTGCGAAAAGGCAATTTGCCTATGCGTTTAGCAGTTTTAGTGTAAGAAGAGGGTTGTCGCCCTTCCCGCAACCCTTACACTCCTTAAGAAGATGGAAAAGTCAACACTAGACTTTACAAATTGTGAAATAAATGACTTTATAATGTCAAAGTTGCATTTTTGTAGTTTTTCCATTATCAATAATTTTTTTAGATTGATATAGAAGGAACGTTAATTAGAAATGTTGAACAAGTTTATGAGTAGTAGACAAATATTTTACCAAAGTCAAGTTCTTTAAAAAAATATTGTTGATAGTTTTTTTGCTTTGATTAAGCACGTTTAAAACTGTAAAGTAGTATGAAATTGTAGTTACAAATAAACGAAACTCGCAACAACTATTAGAAAGAAACAAAATATAACCATATCTTTTTATTACTTCTAATTTCAACCCAAAATGGCGTGATATGATTGAAAATTTATATCCGGTGCAGATTGACAAGATTTGGTTACTCAAATATTTAAACTTAAATTACCTCCTCAATGATAATAATAAAAATTTATACAAAGATATAATATTTATAACAAATACTTATAAAAAAAAAACGATACTATTTAGCATAATTAATTTTTTCTTGTTTCTAAAATGTTTATCCTGAAATCACGATGACTTATTGTTAACAGGAACATTGCTCACAACTAAAATGTTACATAGCTAATAACTATCGGATAAGAAAACTTTATACGGACCTAATTTGGAAAAAAATTAAAGACACATGTGACTACGATAATTTAACTTAAAGTAAAATAATTATTACAGTTAGTAAGGTTAGCTATCGTTTAATGCACCTTAAATTTATTTTTTGACTAGAATTGCTTTGAAAAAAAAGATAACAACAATGTGTTTATAATAAAGCAGAATAAACTTTTGTGAACAGTACTTTGTAAATGCCGTTTCTCGGCATTTACAAAGTACTGTTCACAGAAATGCGATCCAATTTTCAAATGACCTAAAGGAAAATAAAAAAGGAAAAGCAAACAACAAAGATCAACAGGTTAATAGTCAGCAGGTAATAGTCGGCACTAGAGTAATTTCAGGTACTTGAAATTACTATAGTGTCGCAATTTAACTTTTAACAATATAAATATGTAAGCTTGTAATATGTAAGTTGAGTTAATTTAAAATGCATTAAGGATTTTTGTTAGACAGCAAAAACTCGTAACAATGCCTGCAATATCCTTTCATATTTATATAAACTTTAGTATTTATATGGTGTAGTATTTGCCGAAAGAGAAGATGATGATGATGATGATGATGGTACTGATGATTACGATGATCATGTTGATAATTTTGTTTATATATACACTACCGACAAAAAGTTTGAGGCAGGGTAAAAATTTATGATTTCGAGATGTAAATACCCTTAAATTGTTTATTTTTTCGACTTCAATGAGTGTATTTATGTTTTAATTTATGATTCTAATATATCACTAGTAGATTAGAACTGTTTATAATATTTTAATCAACAAGGGATAGCTGATAAAGATTTGTGCCGCTGTAATAAAGAATAAAGGAGGATATTTTGACGAATCAAAAATTTAATTAAAATAACAATTATAATTAAGAATTTATAATAAAAAAATGTTTAATGTTTATTAGTTTTTGTATTCATTATCATTAAAGTACAAATCATATTAGAAAAAGTTTATTTATTTAGCAATTTTAAAAAACCTGCCTCAAACTTTTTGTCGGTAGTGTATATATATATATATATATATATATATATATATATATATATATACACAAAATATAACATGAATTTTGAATAAATAAAAAATACTTTAGGATGTATAAATGTTTATGCAGCCCCTGTCACAAACCCGGCCCTGGCTATAATTTATCAAACCCGGCAACGGTCAAATATCAACCCTAATTGTTTACTAGTTGCAGTTCTTAAACAGTATCTATAAAGCTTGAAAAACAATTCTAGGAGTCTCTTCAGACATTATCTATCATAATGACAGGCCTTGTTAAGAAGTGTTTACCTATTTTTTTTTTAATTATTCACCTCCCCAAGGCCCGAGGGAGCCACTACAGTCGAGGAGGCTACTCATTTTTTTTGTTTTGTTTCTTTTTTTTTATTTTTTGTTGTAAATCATGATACAACCCTCAACTCTTTAACTCCGAAACACGAACCTTGACAAGCAAGACTGCTGCGCGGAGAAATCAAGTTGAGTGCGGTACTTCCAGGAACGTGGTGGTATTCAAACTCCAAACCTGTCGCTTACAAAGCCAGCGCTCTTACCACTACACCACTATCACATTTGAATTTTACGCACGTATTCACAATTTTACGTACGCGTTTCACAATTTACGTTACGCAAAAACGTTTTTCAATAAGTTTATTTTAAACAGTCTTTTAAAACAGATTAAGCGGAAAACATTAAACTGTAATTAATTGTTGTAAAAAATATTTGTCGAATATTCTTTTTAATTAGATAAAAAAACAGAGAGTTATCCTTTTTCTATTTTCCTTTTTTTAAAAAAAATATGTTTTTAATTTATTAAATTTAAATTAATTTTATTATTATTCATAGTTTTAGTAGTTTTTTTTTTAATTAAATTTGACTAAATTTAATTAAAATTCTTTTAAAAATTTCAAAACGCTCTGTTTTACAATTTTTTTCACTGATAAAATTTCCAAAATTTATGCTTAAGTAAAAAAAAATTTAATAAATTTAATTCAAGTTACTTAAAAATGTTCGCATTACATATAACTTCATTTTAATTTCAGTTAAGTTTCAATTAGTTCCAGTTTTAAATACTGGTCTGAATAATGCGCTTTTATAAATTTATGAGTGACGTCAATACAAAAAAGTTTTTTCAAACTCAAGTTTTAATGTTATGTTTGGGTTTATGTTTGGGTAAATTGATTAAAAATAACACGATCAATAAATAAACTCTTTAAAAGCCTAACTTAAATTTATTTTATTTTAAGAAAAAAAAATTACTTTTGCTATAAATATAAGATTTATAAAATTTCAAAATTATACTGATATTTGTTAAAAACAAGTTTGGGTAATAAAATCTTAAAACCGAAAAAATATTTTTCTTTTTGGATTCACTAAGAAATAGTAAAAATACATTAGGTTTCACTGTACAAATTAAGTTTAAACAAGCATAAGATTTTAAAATAAGAAATTTTTTTTTAATCTTCACCGGGGTTAGGGTTAAATTTAATTTATAACTTTTTTAATCACAATATTGTTTGATTTAAAGATATAATTTTAAATTTAAATTTGTAAACATTTAAAGGAATTTTAAAATTTTTAAACATTTAAAATACTTACAATAATTTCTGATGTGTTTTTAAATTTAATTACAATGAGGTATTTTAAAATACGTAACTGGTGCAATTAAACTTTTAATGATGTAAATATCTTTATTTAATCAAGTTACATATATTCACGTTACACTTTTCTATTACGCAACAAAATCTCATAACAAGGCCTGTAATGACATACATAACCCTCTGAATTAGGGTTGGCATTTGGCAATGTCAACCTAACTGCCGACCTAGAAGTGTTTGAGGTCAGCAAATAATCGCTGTCCTCGTTTTTATGTGTTATAGCCAAACCTTTGTTTTACATTTTTTATGTCGACTTGATGCCGACCTCACTCAAATTAAATACTTATTTTTCCTAATTCTGAGGGCTGACTGGTTTTTAATAAATAATACAACTATAATGTTATTATATAGATATAAGAATTATTTAAGATTCTCTGAAAGATTAATATAAGAATAATTTGAGATTAAAGTTTCTCTGATGTAAATACTATCGATATAGATTTTTTAATAATTGTTTAATATGATTTAGAAATGTAAAACTTACTTACCAGTCTCCTTTATAGAAAAATTTCCCATCTTCATAACGAGCAACTATTAATGGATCATCTGTCATTGACTCTAAAGAAGAAGTTTAGTAGCTAAGAGATCTGATAAGAATCATTCAAACAAAAGTGTAAAAAGAAGAAAAGATAACAACACAGTTCAAGTGGAAACTAGCACAAAATATAGAAATAATATTTTTTCACTACTGCAAACTAATTTTTAAGATAAAAGTATCTTGTTTTTAAGTATGATATAGTATGCCAAGGTACATTCGAAAAAAAAGATGGATTCTTTAAAGGTTATAGCAATAAAAAGTTGTCTTTTGCTTAAAAATTATCAAATTTCAAAAAAAAAAAAAAAAAAAAAAAAAAACTTAAAATATTGTAGTATTCAGGCGCCCAAAGGGGAGAAAAAGGGGTTAAAAAGATTTTAAATTTTTTTTCTAATTAACTATCAACTTTCAAAGAGTAACTAAAGATTTTGCTTTACAGATGGTAAAGCAAAATCTTCAGTTACTTATATTAAATAGTTTTAATATAAGTAACTGAAGATAAACTTTTTAAATAGTTTTTGTGGTCCAATGTTTCTTTCAGAACAATCATTTGTGACACTGAGGTGTTTAATAACAAATTTTTTGTACAAGAGTATTAAGTCTAAACTTTCTTTATTCTGGCAAGCTTCCAACCAAATCTTTGTTTCCTTTACGAAATCCAAAACGACAAAAAGTAACCAACTTTTACAGGTAATAAGTTCACAAAGTTTAGTATTTTTATCTACTAAAACAGGAAGTGGTTTATTAATTTCACTCTTTATTAATTTCACTAATGTCAGGAACCTTGTGCTCCAACAAGGCCTTCAAAATGTCAGACTTTTTGAGCTTCAAGTTCAGAATCAGTAAGAGCCGTGACTAGCACTTTAGGCACTAATCATCTTTAAAGATAGCAAGAGTGAGATTTTAAACAATTTAAAAGTGAAGTTCCTACATCAATATCCCATTCCTCCTCTATGATATTTGCTACATTGAATAAATTGAAATTATTTAATACTGAATGTTTGTCAAAACTGGATTAAAAACGCTGGAATTAGGCCATCTTGAGTATTTTCTTTATTGACAAGGATCGAATTGGATCGAATCAAGAGTGGTACATTGTAATTTCTTTTATTTAGCGTTATTGGATGTTTTTTGTTGATATTCCTCCTCATCAAAATTATAATTAGTATTACTTACCATCAATGCCAGATTTGAAAGATCTACAATAATATTAACAAAAAATGAAAATGAAAAAGTACATTCATAGTGTATTGTATAAAGTAATATACAATACGCATGTAAAATATAAAATTTAAATTTTTCATGATAAAAATTACCTGATTCAGATATCAATTTTATCTCATTTGAATAATATCCATCAGCATTTTTAATTGTAGGTTCTAAATCTTCAAAATCTAAGTAATCATAATTCTCATCATTATGATACATCTCCATTGGCCTCTATTGATATTTTTTTCTTATAATCTGTATATCTAAGGTATCTCTCTTATCTACATTCAATCTTTGCTTCAAGTTCTTTATCTATATACCCGTATCTATATGCTTGTTTATAAACTGTTTTCTAGCATTTTTCTGATCTTCTGAAAGTGCTAAATCTTCCTCTTTACTCTCTTTGTTTCTTGGCATATCTGAACTGAGTTGTATAAGCTCTTTAATGTAGGGTTTTTAACTAACTTTTCTTTGGTGTCCTTTTTCCAAACTAGCAACTTTCTCTTAGTTTTGATACCCATTTTTTGTGAAGTTACACACATTTTGATAATATTTTATCCTCTCCAAAACTATAGTTTTGAAAACCACAGGACTCCCAGATGTTCACCATTTTTTATGAGAAGACACAAATCTTTATTTTCCTTAAACACGTTGTTTTTCCTTTACCTTTCATATTAAAATTTGATCCCATAGGACAAGAAAAATTATCATAAATACTTTCGAATTGTTTTGATCTACTGCTGATAAAATATTGATGTCTAAGCTGATTTAAGAAGGTAAAGGGGCCTCCTACAACTGACATCCAGATGTCTAACATGTTTTTGCATTCTTTCAATACTTGATTGCATCTTTGTGTCTATATATTGGCAATTATATAAATAATGTTCAATGTTTATTCTTTATTTATATTTAATTTATTAATTTTATTGATGTCATTACTAAATAATATACTAAATAATACCTTTAATAAACCTTACCTAAAACTATGTTTACTACACCTTTTTTCTATATGTGTAATTTTTTTGTAGTTTTGTTTAAAAACAGTTTAAAAATGTTCAAAACTGCTGTAAAATGTTTTGCATTGCAGTGTTATTCTATTCATTGAATGAAAAAATTAAACATTAAATTACATTTTACTTTTCAAAATGATACATTTTGATAAAGTAAAAAAATATTAACGATGAACAAAGTAAATTTTGAAATAATGGTAATTGTGTTAACATCTGATTTCTACATCTAGCACTAATACTAATCCTTAAAACAAAACCAAAACAGTTTTAATATCACTGAGGGGTGTAGAAAAGATTAAGATGCAGTGTTAATTTTTTTTTCACAAAAAAATTGTCACCTTAATGTACAACTATGTAAAAAAAAAAAAAAATAATAATAAAAAAAAAAAAAACCTGCATTATTTCTGCCAGCAAGTTCAAGTTTTGCCTAATAAAAAAATGAATTTTAATAAGTTTGTTTAAAGAGTTGAATATTTTTCAATGTAATTTAAAACACTATAAATCATAAAACTGTTTTATCATATCACAGATTTTATTATTTTGGAAAATTTTTATAAAAAGATGTACCTTTCGTATAGCAGCCCAATCATCCATGATTTCTAATTCCTTAAGCATGTAAATAATGTATGGACCTAAAAAAAAAACATTGAAATTTAAATAACTATTTATATCATACATTTGCCAATTTTTTGAATATTGCATAAAAACAGGAATAAAAACTTTTATTCCCTTTTGCCAGTTTTAAAACAACCCTCAATCTACTCCATGGTTTGCTTCTTTCTTTTGCACCTGTCATCCCTAATAGAAATTATTCTTTTATCTTTCCAATTAAAACAATTTATATTTAAGAATAATATTTTATAAATTTTTTTTTGGATATTTGTGGCTTTTATTGAAAATGTATAATTCATTACCTGCAAGATGCTTTTTTAATTTTAATGTTTCTTAAAAAATCTTTTGGGACACTGGGAATCTAAGTTTTTCAATAAGGTTATAGCCTTTACAATTTTATTAATAGTAATAAATATAGTGATGATAACAATGATAATAACAATAATATATAATAAAAATATAAGATTAAAAAATTAATACAAATTGTAGTAATTCTAATAAATAAATATGTTTACAACAATACAATGAAAAAATGATAATAACTAATATTATAATAGTAGTTATAGGCGTAAAATTATTTATAATAATAAATTAATGATTCATTGGGATGTCACTCATACAGAAATATGATCAAAGGACTGAAAAAAATTTTTAAATATAATATAAGTAATAATAAGCAAAGACATACATTGAAACACATCGACCATAAACACGTAGATTAAAGCACAAATATATTGAAAATAAGCATGTAGAAATCATAATTTGCCAGTTATAATATTAAAAAAATAATAATAATAAAAAAATAAACAAACAAAAAGTGCTGATGACAATTATAGTAATAATGAAAATAAAATTAAGATAATTTTTTAATAGTAAGGATAATTATGTCTAAAAGTTAGTATAAAATATTTTTCAGAACTTTTTTAAATTGAATTTGTTTAAGATGATGAAAAGTTATTTAAAAATGTAGTTTTTTGAACTCAAAATGCATACAAGGCTCCTGTCCCAATTGCAGACACACTTATAAATAATAGAATGTTAACCATACATTTTGGGCTTTAAAAGATGATATATTAGGTTTCCGTTGTATATATTTCTAGTAGAGTATGAATGTACTAGTCTACTTTCTGTGAACAAGTTTTTAATAGAAGATGGTAAATTTTTATTTAAGGAGTCAAAAATAAAAATAAGATTAGCATACTTTACTAGTGCTGGAAATGTTGAAATAAAAAGTTTTTTGAAGGACTCGTATGTATCTTATTTAATTGGTTGGAAGTTTAATAATCTAATGGAGCAACGCTGAGGTGATAGCAACTTATCAACGCGATTGTTTCCAACTTAACCCCAAACTTGACAACAATATCTAAAATGAGATGAGAATATTGCATAGTAAATTATCTTAGCTCAAGAAAGTCAATTAGCGCACCAAGTTATTAAATAACTCAGCAATTATAGCAGATATAGCAGTTTATTATTAATTTTAATTTTGATTTCAACATTTTTAAAGAAATAGTTTTTTCCTTGTAAATATAAAAAAAAATTATGATTGGAAGAAGACTAATGGGACGGTAGTTAGACAAATCAAATCGCTTTCTAGATTTTTAGAAAATAGGGATAACAGAATCTGCTTTCCAGCAAGCTGGAAAACAAGACTCTGTTTGATGAGAATTATGATTACTTAGATTTTGAAGATTTAGAACCTACAATTAAAAATGCTGATGGATATTATTCAAATGAGATAAAATTGATATCTGAATCAGGTAATTTTTATCATGAAAAATTTAAATTTTATATTTTACATGCGTATTGTATATTACTTTATATTTTGTTGAATAGTTTTGAAAGGATAGACGACAGCTCAGGAGAACACTTCTGCAAGACTCCAACAGGTATGTTGTCCGGACCACAAGCTGTAGAAGAGTCTAAGCAAGAAATAAAAAAAAAAGATATAGAAAGATGATATTGATGAAAAGTTCTTAGCAAACAATTCAGCTTTGTCTTTAGGTGAGATGACAAAGCCTGAACCATACAAGAGAGGTGGAATTACAGATTTGCCCTTATTATTGATACTGTTAAAGATTCACCAGAAGTCAGAGCTTAACTTTTGTGATGATATACAAGATTTCGGGCTTTGGCATCAGACAAAACCTTTTTACAATGGTTTCTAGCAGTAATATACAGGCGTCTGTTTTCTGAATAATTGTTTTGCTGATAGATATGAAAATAATGGTTTTGATTGGCAATTGCAGCAGCACAGTGTGAGGAAAACCATGTAAAAGAGTGAGGCTTGACCTGGAATTGTCAAGAGGGAATCTGAGGTTTCTACGACTAACTGACCAGTCAATCTTATTCAATGAAAATTTCCAAAGATAATTTATTGTTGACTTTAATAAAGACAAGTACAAAAACAACCTTGAGTAAAAACAACTTTGTATGACAAAATTTGTCAATCCTTTCCATAAGTCCTCTTCTTTACATCTTTTTGGATTACCAATTACTACTGACCGTTCATGGAAACCATATATACAGTTGTTTGCTAAATTAGCATCTGGTAAGCAGTGTTTCTTACCCAGGTATTACCTTACCATTACCCAGGTAATTAGCTAATTTTTTCTTACCCATTACCCAAGTAATTTTTTTCAAATTATCTGGGTAATGGGTAATTTGGAGCATTTATCAATTTTATCATTTTTTCAAAAAAAATTTATGCAAATAAAACTTTTCTGATCAATCTTCGAAAGTGGACATTGTATTATTAATATTATAAACATCATTATAATTAATACTCGGTGTAGTGAAGGCAATTTTAAAATGTTATCCTGTCTGTACAATATTTTACTGACCAACATCTTATTCCAGCAAATGATATGGTCTTTAAATTGTAATAGAAGTTAAATTAAAACATTCAATGACCTTTTTACAACCATAAATCTAGAACTTATATAACTGAACACATGGTTCAAAGCTAACAAATTGTCATTAAACTCAAACAAAACTAAATATATCTTGTTTTACTCTAACCAAAAAAAAAATCTCTTCCATCAAATTTACCAATTATTAGTATAGACAAATTAATTATTGAAAGAACTCAATCATCTAATTTCTTGGTGTGCTTATTGACGAGAATTTATCATGGGGCTCTCACATAAATGCCATTAATACGAATATCTCTAAGAAAATTAGCCTACTCTATAAAGCAAGACCTTTTCTATTATTCAAAAATTTAAAACTCTTTTATTTTTTCTTTATACACAGCTATCTATCATACGTCAAAATAGCATGGGGAAGTACTCATAAAACTAAATTAAGTTCTCTCTATAGACGACGGAAACACGTCTCTAGAATTATATTTTATAAAAACAAGCTTACTTATGCAAACCTATTACTAAAACAGATAAACTCTTTTAACATCTACCAAATCAATACATATCAAAATATACTGTTTATGTTCAAACATAAAATGGGAATAGTCGATTTATAAATAACTTTTTTTGAACTAATATAAATAAATTTAGCTCTAGAGCAACTGGAAACTATACAGTACCATTGAAAAAAAGAAAATTTTCCCGATTCTCTATAAAATATCATGGTCCTTACCAGTATAACTAATTTCAAAAAAATACCTCGTTACCTCCTTCAAAAAGTTTAAACTTTTTAAAAACTAATCTTAAAAAATTCATTTTAGATACAAACAATTATATAGAAATATTTTAATACCTTATGATTATTAAAAAATAAAGAATATGCAAAACAAAAATTCAAAAATTTTAAAATAAAAGCAAGTATGTATATAGAAGTATAGCTTATATATCTCATGAAATTAATAATATATAAGTTCTTGATGGCAAGACTTCACTCAGTTTTTTGCAAGTTCTGCTTGAATACTTAACTAAAAGTTTCTCTTATACTCTTATCTTATTTTTCAAATTATAAATTATAATATTATTTTACATTACTATATTACTTTGTACAATAAACAACAATCTCAATAATATCTTAACTATATAAGAAGTTTGAATGTATTTGTATTTAAAGTAGTATATATTGTTAAAACTTGTAAAAAACTATGTAGTTGAAAAAAATATATGAAAAAAAAAAAAAGGAAAACAATATATGTTTTTGAAGGAGGAATTTCCGAATGAAAAATTATTTATAAGTATTTATTTATCAGATCTTTTTTTAATGCAAAATAATTATTGACAAAATTTGTACTTTCATGAAATATTTGGTGTCATTTATATAAAAATATTTCTTGTGAAAAAACGCAGACCAAAAGCTATTTTGTTTTTTTATTATATCAATTTTATTATATTAACTCAAAAAAAAATTAAAAATTAAGTCTAAAGCTTTTGTTTCGACATAATACGTTGACAAAATCATGTGAATTCTAATTTAAAGAAATTGAACAACTTATAAATTGCCTTAACTACACCGAGTAATAAAAAAGGAAAAAAAGCAAGATCAAGCTATATACAAAAATGAAGGTATATACAAAAATAAATTTATTAAAAAAATTAAGCTATATACAAAAATCAAGCTATATACAAGAATCAAGTTATACAAGAATCAAGCTATATACAAGAATCAAGCTATATACAAGAATCAAGCTATATACAAAAATCAAGCTCTATACAAGAATCAAGTTATACAAGAATCAAGCTATATTCAAGAATCAAGCTATATATGAGAATAAAGCTATATACAAGAATCAAGTTCTAAACGCGGCATTTAGAGTATGATTCAATCAAAAGACTTTACCATAAAATTGATAAAGTCTTTTGATTGTTCCTAGTAAAGAATGATGACAGTCTTCAACCTCAAAATATCCAGTCTTCAATCTCAAAATATCCAGAACAAAATAATTTTAAATTTTTATATTGAAAAATGCCATGGAATAACCTTATAGGAATAGGCTTAAGTGGCTAATAGCCGGGTAATACCCCGGTAAATTTAAAATTACCCATTACTCAGGTAAAGCTTTTTGCTGGGTAATTGAAACAGTGATGCTAAGGTTGCCTCTCTTTATCGTACTTGCCATTTTCTCTGACCTGATTTTATTCTTTACCTCCACAAATCTCTTATTTGTCCCTGTATGTAATACTGTTGTTGTATTTAGGCTGGTTCTTCTAATGATGCTCTTTCTCTTCTAGACAAGGTCCAAAAACACATTGTAAATGTAGTTGGATCTGCTTTAACTGCTAAGCTTGAACCTCTTTCTATTGTTGTAAAGTTGCATCTCTTTTTCTTTTCTACAAATACTATCATGGCCGCTGCTCAAAAGAGCTATCATCTCTAGTTCCATCAACTAAAACTCACTCTCACTTGACTCAACATTCAACAAAGTCTCATTCTTTTACTGTATTTACAACTTTTTAAGTCTTCTGTCAACCTGTTTTTCTCCCAACTTGATAGTGGTTGCTTGTAGCCCTGTTGGGAGTGAATCAGAATTTAAAAAAAATTACTGGGAGATTTAGAGAGATCTAAATAAGTTTATTAATTTTGATTCGATTGTTTACTAGTTTATGATTTATTTACTTATTAGTTTGTTACTTTTTGTTGCAATATTTTTTATTTAAATTGGTATCTAAATTCAGTTTACAAAACTAATAGCTGAGGATTTTCTAGCACAGTAAATCAAAATTTTTTTACAATTTATAAGACTTATTTTTGTTTAAACGCAACTTTCATTCATTTTAATTCAAAGTTATCCAATTAAAATTTTAATTGCATAAACTTTAACATAAAGTTGTTTAACTTTGCACATAAAGAATACTCTGCAAAGATTTCTAGTTTTGAAGTTTTTTAATACAGTAGAATCCCGTTAACTCAGACTCTGAACGGGCATATATATTTTGTCCAACTTAGGAAATGTCTGATTAAGCGAAGCTTTTAGTATATATAGAGAATTCAAGGGGAATTGAATATTTTTCAGACTTGGTAAAAGTCTGACTTATCCAGGGTCTGAGTTAATGGGATTCTACTGTTTTTTTTAAAATATCTTTGCTTCCAACAAGGCTGCAAGCAACCACTAATTAGATTTGGAAGTTACTGGAGGAGAAAAGATGAAGATTGTAGAGCAAGATAAGGATTGACAGTTGGCTTAAAAGATCGCAATTTATATGAATCAGGAAAGCAAGATGAAGGAAGCAAATTCCAAAGAACCGATGTTTGAGGAAAAAAACTAGACGAATAAGAGTTTTTGGAGCACTTTAGGAATAGTCACAGAAAAAGGATGAGACTAAATTGAATGACGAGTAACACGAGAATGAACTTTATTAGATGGAACAAGATTATAGTATTCGTAGAAAAGAGAAACGACATTATAGTATTTGTAGAAAAGAGAAACGACATTACAATATTGTGATAATGGTTGAAGTTTGGCTGCAAGAGCAGGTCCAACTATGTTTACAATGTGTTTTTGCACCTTGTCTAAAAGAGAAAGGGCATCATTAGAAGATCTCCCCCCCCCCCCAAATATGACAACAATATTCCATACAAGACCGGATTTAATATATATACTTTTAAAATGTTAAAAATTGAAGTCGAAGGTCAACCACAACAAAATAGCAAAAACTTTTCTAAAAAAAAAAACTAATTAAGAATAACTGGTTAAACAAAAACTATAGAATTTTGCCCCTCACCCCCCTATTTTAAAAAACTTTTATACCCCCTAATTTTTTTCCTATTTAATACCTTCTGGTAAGAATAATGCAAAAGTATTTTAGTATATTTTATATACTAAAATATATTTCATTTTTAACTAAATGTTGTGTACTGTTATGACTATTTGGTCCTGCAAGACACCCCATAATACTTTGCAGCTAAAATTATATACATTTACTAAGAATTAGCAGGCATTGGTGTGCACATCTTTGTTTCTATTATTAAATGTATAACTCAGAGTGAACATCTTTGCTTCTATTATTAAAAAAGAAACAAAAAACATGTGAAGACCTTTGTTGAGAAAGTTATACCTATTCACAATATGTAAAATTTGTAAAATTTATAAACTTTTAATTAAATTTGAAAAAATTTTTTAATAAAATAATGAAAAAATTAATTAAAAATTATATAAAAGTGAACCTGAAACAATGACAGGTTTTTTTCTTTTATCTGGGATGAATATATCTAGCCCTTTTCTTCTTTTTCTGTACCGTAATGAATCATCGCACCACAATTCTAAAATTGAACAAACAAAAGATGTTATACTTTTAATAATTTGAATATTTGATTGTCTGAGCAACTTTACATTAACAATTGATAATTACAAATCAAAATTACCAGAAATGTAAAACAATTTCTAATCAATACTAAAAATATATTTTTTTAAGTTTAAAATAATAATATATTATTATTACTATATATTTCAATAAAAAAATGCATGACTTTTTTTATTATTTTGCGATAGAAATTAATAATCACCTGAATGCATATCTGCATTATGTCTTTCCTCTTCAATCCTTCGCAACTTTTCTTGTAAATCTGCATGCAATGCATCAAAAAGTTGCTGCTCCTCATTCTGTCAAAAAATGCATAACTATATTACTTTAAAAACATAATCAAATATTGTTTTGAGACAAATGCAAGCAAAATTTAATGTTAGTAACAATTACAAATTAAAAATAAATAAAAGGATTAGATAATAGAACTTTCAAAAATATAAAAAGGAGAAACTAAAAAATTAAAAAAAATCTGACTAAAAAACAAATTGCAGGATAACAAAAAAATAAAAAATAAATAAATTATAAAAATGTATATTTGACTACAATACATATGACAAAAATGTATTAAATTAATTTACTGAATTATTTATTGCTATAACAACATATATAACAATAAATTTTTACAATTAAATTACAATATTATTTAAATTATTTTATATTTTGATCAATTAAATAAAAACCAATTAGAACTTGTTTTTATCTTTTTATTTTGACTCATGTATTTACATATATTTATCTTTAATTTATCTTCATTTGTAAATATAAATTTTATTATCATACATTTTAAATATTGAAACCTAATCATAATTTTCATCTTAAACTTTAAAATTAAACAATATTGCCTTGAACAGATAAGTATAAGTATAAGAATTCAAACTTTAAATATTAAAAACTTTGATTTTTTTAAAATAAAAACCTCACTTTTTTGTTAATCCTCACTTCAACTTTATAATGATATTAGTCAAAAATGTACAAACATAAGATATTAGGTTCATAACACATATGGTGCAAACACATGACCTCTATACTAATTTTACATATTACTTGGATATAATTGAATTATATAACAATTACTTGGAAATGCTGCTCAGCATTTTGCAATTCGCATTTCAATTTGTTTTCCAAATTTATTGTCTAAAAAATAATGAGCTTTATTTAATTTAAAAGATTTATTAACATCTTAATAAACAAAATAATTTAAAAGATTTATTAACATCTTAATAAACAAAATAATACTATAGCTTTCACTCACCCTGTAGTGTTTTCGATGGCCTAAAAATACAAAATAAGTTAAAAATTTAATAAAAACTTTAAAAATAAAATAATGAACCTTTGAATAACATTTATTTTTACAAAAACAATCAAAAATTAATAGTTTAAAAAATTTTAAAAAATAAAAAACAATTCTTTAAATTACATTTTTTGGCAATAAAACTTGATTCAATAAGAAATGAAATGAACTTTTTAAAAAGTTTTTGTTTATAAACTTTATTAAAAACAATATGTAAATCTTTTGTATTCTAATGAATATAAGCAAAATGTTTTAGTTTACATAAAACTATTTATAAATAACGTATTTAAAACTTTAAACCTCAAATAACATAAATAAAACTATAATCCTCAAATAACATTTAAATTGTTGCTTAAAAATCATAAGTATATGAAAAATATGGTTGGGTGAAGAGTGATATATTCCACTCTCTGTAATTATGTTATAATTAGGGGATTAATATTAAAAAACTTCTTTAGCTTTAACTTAAGCAAGTTGTCAAAGAAAGTCATTAAGGGTTTTTTAACGAACCATGGAATAGACACAATGTTTTAGCTCCTTTGCTTAATATTTGAAAAAATGTGCAATCAGTTTTAAAAAAATCTTGTAAATATTGTAAATCTTTCTGGGAATATATTTATGTGTTGAATTAACTACAACATTTTTTATGCTATTATTATTTTTAACAATAAAGTCATCTTCAAGTTGCTTTAGTGAACTTGTATATTACTATTTTTCACCTAATACATACAATACAACCACTCTATAATAGTAATAATCTTTCATTTAATAAAATTTATTATTATTAATTGTTATGATTATGTCATTAATACTGTTTGTAATAATAAAGTTCAATTTAAAAAGTTTTTTTTTATAAAGCACTTGAACTCAGTTTTGGAATGTCCATATGAAAATTTTAAAAATTTTTAATCAAATTTTTTGTGCAATTGGCAATTTTTTAAAGAGGTTTTTAAAAAGATAACACTCTTTTTAGTAATTTTTTAAATGTGCTTGAACTTAAAGAATGCAGTTTGTAAAAAATGCTTTTTTATACTATTTTAGTTTTAGTACATTGAAAATATTAAGCTGAAACAAATAAAAAATACAAAAAAACGTTTGTAAATTTGATTAAAATATTTTTGTTGATTTTGATTCAACTGGAAATAATGTGCTTATTTCATATACTTTTATTCTTAAACTGTAACATATTATCATTTATTTTAATAGCTTTAGGTAAAAGCCTTGAGAAGGTGAACAACACAAAATAACAACAAAAATTAAAAAAAAAAAAAAATAATAAAACTTTTATGAATGACATTTGAAATCATAAAACTCTTTAAAAATATATTTATATGTCATTGAAACCATAAAATTCTTTACAAATATATTTATATATCATTGAAATCATAAAATTCTTTACAAATATATTTATATATCATTGAAATCATAAAGTTATTCAAAATTATATTTATATGTCATTGAAATCATAAAAATCATAATGAATTTTATGATTTCAATGACAATTTCTGGTGACAAGTCTCATCCTTAAATATTTGTATTAAACTCTAAGAATGTACGACAATGTATGGGATCAAATACTAATAAGGGATAAGTGCAAGTGTGTTTTGCAGTGAAACATCACCGCACACCTTGCTAAACTTTTGTCTCTGAGAAGTGGCTTTAGTCATCTAAGTTTGTGTTTAAAAGCCATAGAATTGAGACAGGGTTTGAACAAGATTCTAAAAAAAAAAAAAATGAGTCGTCTAAACTTTGACACCCAAGAACACAAAGATGTATAATTTTTGAACAAAATAATGTTAAATATTAGTTATAAAAAAGTCCATAACTTTTCAGATGTGAACTTTTAAAATTTAATCAAACAGATTAAAGTCTCCTTCATCTGAAAGAAAATATTAACAAATTATTCTGGTTGTGTTATACAAACAGTAAAGTACTTTAATCCTAAATTGATGTTTAGATTTATTTACGAAAGGGACACTTAGATTTCAAGAAGTTATGGAAAAAAAATTGAAGATAAGTCAAATAACAAAAATTAAAGATTAGTCCAAAAACAGAAGTTTTATTTATATGCATGACAATGCTCTTAAAATTCTATTTGAGGCATCGCTTTTTCTAAAATAAAATAAAAAAAGGTTTTAGGTTCTTCTTGATGTAGTTGAGAACTTATGGAATATAGTGGTAAGGAAATCCCTTAAATGTTTATTATATAAACAATAGAAAATTCAATAAATTATGATAATAATTACTTCGAGTAAATATTTAAAAAAAAAAGTATTAAAAATTTAAAACATTAACAACAACAGCTGGGTTAAAGGTGTGCTCGAAGAAACTTAATAAATAGAGAACATGTAAAGTATTACTGGTTGTAAAAACTAGTTAATTTAATTTTATTTTTACCAAAACAAATATATAATTTCTTTAAAAAAAAAAAAAAAACTTAATATTACTGTTTATTATTATTATTTGTTGTTATTATAAAATATTATTAAATATTAATAGTTATTAACTAAAACTAATAATTTAGTATTACTGCTTGTTACCAGAGTTGTCATTGGGAGAACATCTTTTAACTTTAAAGGCACAAGCAAGAAATTAAAACACATTCCACAGTATTCGTAAGAGAAATGTTAATTCAAGACAACATACAACAAGATTAGAGGATTCAAGAGAGCAAACTTTCTTTCAAGGTATGTTGTTTATATTTTTATCCTTCTATTGACACTGCACTACATTAACTGTAGTTGCACTTAGAGTGCCACAAACAAGTAAGTGACTTGTTCACATTTTTGTGTCCTCCGCATCTTCAGAATTAGTCACACACTGAAATAGAACTTGCTGCAACCGAATATGTAAAATGATACCCTAATCTCGTGCAAAAAATTTACTCAATCCAAGAAAAATTTCAAAAGACACTTGTGCAAGAGTTTGAAATGTTTTACATCTAATTGAAGTGAACTTGCTTTAATGCCAGAACTAGCAACGATATATGTTTTCTTTATTACACTTCCTGTGACTGTTACATTGTGTGAACAACCATTTCCAAAACTTAAGATCATCAAAACCTATGGTCTACGAATGCTCAATACTAACTTTGTGGATCATCAATACTAACTATACTTCTAATGAAAATAAGGTTTTTGACAAAGTCATTCAGATTTTGCTAATAAAAATTGACTTGCCCATGAATTTAATTATTGAAATTTTATTTAAGGATTGTTATTTATATGGGATATTGGCATAAAATGTCAAGTACAATTTAAAGCTCTGGTATGAATTTTGTATGCAGTGTATGGAATATAAACTTATAATATACTTAAAGCTAAATCACAAAATTCACAAGAAGAACTTTAGAACTAAAGTGTTTTGCAATATGTTATGACAGTTTCTTACAAGAAATTGTTTGTTGACAAGCAATTAGAACAGAACTTTGATATGATGTTTAGGGCACCATAACATACTTTTAAATATTCAAGAAAGTAAGTTTTACCTGCCACATCATTTCTACCAATAAATTCATCTTCAAGTTGCTTTAGTGGACCTGTGTATTCCTGTGCTTCACCTATAAAAAAAATATAATAATTGCCTTAAAAATAAAAACCTTTCATTTAATAACATTCATTATTATTAATTAATACAATTATGTCATTAATACTGCTTGTAATAAAATTCAATTGATAGTTAAACTTGATTTATTATTGAGCACTCAAATTAAAAATTAAGTTTTTGAATCTCCATATAAAAATATCTTTGAATTTGAATAATGCAGTTCATAACATAAGTTTACAGTAATTTAGTTTTTAGATTTTAACATAAAAACAGAACATCAAAATATTAAGCTGAATTAACACATGACACAACAACAACAAATTCTAAACTTGATTTAAATATTTTTGGTTGATTTTGGTTTAACTGGAAAAAAAAAGTGTTTATTTTATTGGCTATGATTCTTAAATGATAAAATATTTTATTAACTTTGAAAGGTTTAGGTAAAAAGCCAACTTTCAATTTCTTATTGCCTTTAGCTTTAAATTTGCTGTATGTTTTGAATTAAAAATATAAAATTTAAATAGCTTTTTAAAACTACTAAAGCTCTTTAGTTTTTTTTGTTGTTGATGTTGTTTTATATTATTTAATGATTCTTTAAATTTTTTTTTTAAGTTTTGAAATTTTTTTATATCTCAAATTATTTTAAAAAAATCTTTAAGAATTTTTGAACCACTTTTAAAAATAAACAAAGCTTTTTCTTTCTCAGTGCATTGTGTATAGCCTACAAGTTGTTGCAGATATTCTGAAAAGTTTCAAGAATATCTGCACTTTCCAAATCCAACTACTTGCATATACAACTCCTATTGATACTCCTGTTGATGCTAATATTGTCCTAATGATATCTTTAGCCCCTGAACTATAAAATGCCCCTGGCCCTGTACTTTCTGACCTTTTTCTTTTTTCAGTAAAGTCATTTCTTTTTTGTAATGTAACTTAATAGCACATCTTAGAGCACATCTAACAATCTCTTTTATTTGATTGATTTTGATTTAAAATAATTAAATTAAATTTATTAATGTAACAATAACTTTTTTAATAATAATAATATCTGTAACTAAAATAAGTTTTTGATTATTTTTAAAAGGAGTTTTTAAGTATAATTTTAACATTTTATTAAAAAAATTAAAAAAAAGATCGACGTTTATTATTTAAACCAAAGTGTAATAACAGTTTATAATTTAACAAATTTGTTTTTTAAAAATAAAGTATAGAGTTAATGAAAATAACATTGTCAATCTTTCATTTGAACTTTAATAAAAAATCATTTAAACAGTAGAACAGTCACTTTATCTAATTCATTGTCAATTAAATTTTAGTTCAAACAAAATTGAACAGACATTTTATTAGAAATTAGAGTAAGATTTTTTTAACTTTTACTTTACTTGATTAAACTTTTTTCCATTACTTAATTACTTTAATATTAACAAATAATTTTTTTAATGCTAATCAATAAAAAACGATAAAAATTTTTTACAAAAGATTTTTTTTTTACTTCGAATACGCATTTCAAAGAAAATAAAAAAACTCACTATTGTTAATATGATCAAGTTGTTCTTCAATTTGAGTAATTCTTTCTTTAAACAATCTAAAGTGAATAAATATTTATTTTTATTGTTTCATACATATATATATACGGTTTTTATTCCTGCTTCGGCAGGAATAAAAACCGTACGGGCTATGAAAAGCCCGTCTTAAATAGACTTGGCGGGCTATGAGGGCCGCCCGTCTAGATGGTCTTGCACGGGCTTTTTTAAACTTTAAAAAAAATTCTAAAGTTTGAACTTTTTTTTTTTTAAATTTGTTAATTTCTCTTCTTTTTTTGAATGAAAATGTCATTGAATATTAAACATTTTGTGAATTGCACTAAAATAATATGTTAGAAAGCGATTAACTGTTTAAAATGCTTAATTACTTAAGTAATTAAAACACTGCAGTAAATGAGTTGGATAATACTTAAAACTAAGATTTCAATAATTGTTTTTCAAAGTTTTCACTTGCGCAGATCTAATTTCGTTTCACGTGGGTTAGTTGTTTTATGGTTGCTTTTGTTTAGATTTCTTACTCGAAGGAACTTTATTCAGTTTTTTATGTTTTTTTTTTTAATCTTTATTCCAGATAATATCTGGCAGATATAGTCAAACGAATGAACGTGAAAACGACGGGAAAAATCCTCGAAACAACCATGGCGTTTCATCACGTTTCCTTATTCAAGCATCCTAACGTGTTTTTTTACCGAAGTCTTTTTGAGTATATTTATATATAATTGTTTTATTCAAGTATTCGATTAAATTATACAGGTTTTTATCGTGCTTTTTTAGTTCATTCGTTTCTCTTATTCTTTGTGAATAAAAATATTACATAATATTTTCAAAATCTAATTTTTTTAATTATTCAGCAAATAGTTTGAAATCTTTTTTTTTTTTAACCTTGAATCAATGAGCTCGATAGTTTTAGAATTGTTTGGTATTAGCTTGGTAATATGATACGTAACTATGTTATTTTTCAAATTCAATTATTTATATACTCTTGCATTCTATTGGGCGTGCAAATTAAAAACTTAAACTGTTATTTATATTTTTATAACTTTGCTTTACCTATGCCTATCCTGATCGGAAATAGTTATTCTGATACGTGAATAAAAAATTTGAAATCTAATTTCTTTTAATAAAATAAGTTTTTATTTAGAAGTACTAATAATTTCTTATGATACCGGGGCTTCCGTTACTTTATATACAATACAAGCATGTATATAAGCGTATGTATGTTGCTAGCTTTAACGTTCGTAGTGCCCTCTATAAATGCTAATGCTTTTTTAACTCGCGAAGCAATTCTTTTTTATATTTTATACAAACCATACACCATATCTTCACAACAAAAATTGTTCCATTCTCCACCTCAGTTTCTTTTCCACAGACTCCATCTTTACCCAAACTCAAAAATGTTGCTAATGTAACTCTTCTACCAGATGATGCCATTACTATCTTTACTGAAAAACTTGAATAACTTGAATAACTTGAATGACTGGATAACTTGAATAACTTCATAGCTATAAAGCAACACTATTTATATTATCTACAAAAATTGATTAGACGTTTGTTGATTTTTAATGAGATATTTCATTTTCAATAACGAGTTATATAATTGCATATTAAATAAACTGCCGTCTCTTTAAGAAAAAACGTGAAGTTAACGCGGAAGTTAACGCGGAAGTTAACGCGGAAATATCACTTTAAACGTCTTTAAAGTTAGACAAACTAGTTTATCGGAAAAAAGTGAAATACATGGATAATTAGTTTATTATCGTTATTATTATAAACATTGAAAAACCAAAACAACATGATACTTCTTGTGCATCACATGTGTATATTTCCCTATTTAATATAATAGTTATTAAATTTTGAACATAATATGGTAACTGTTTGGTATTATATCAAACAGTTATCGTCGTTTAAAAAACTGTAAGATTTAGTTATATTATTTTCTACATCATGTTATACAATAATGATTAAATTGTTTAATCTTTATATTTAAATATAAACAATTATAAGTTGGAGTTTGCTATCCATATTAAAATTATGTCATGAGAGAAGTTTTAAAAGAGTATCTTAATAAAAAAACATCAAAATATTCATCTTTTTTTTTACACAAAACTTATGTTTCAGACGGGCTTTATTTCGCCCGTCTAAACTGACTTAGACGGGTGCGGAGACGGACACGGGCTATAGCCCGTCATTCCTGCCGAAGCCTGTATATACATACATACATACATAAGTACATACATACATACATACATACATACATACATACATACATACATACATACATATATACATACATGCATTCATATACACACACATACATACACACATATTTACATACATACATACTTACATACATGTAAGTATGTATGTATGTAAAAATGCTGCCTACAGGCATTGAAATGTTCAAAATTTATTTTATTGCAAAAAAAAAAAAAAAAAAAAAATTCAACAAAGCAATGCTGTGATACCTATAGTACAGAAAAATTGTCACATTTGAGTTGAGGTTGGAAATTCTATTGTTGAGAGAATAAAAATGGTAAGGGGGTTTAAAAAGTATATTTTTATTAAGAACATAATTAAAAATTTAATTTTATATTTAAACTAAATTATTTTATAATATTTATTGTTTTTAAAAATAATTAAAAATTAAAACTATTTAATATTAGCATAATAAGGAACTTAAGAGATTTACAGCTATTTATTAACCCCCCCTGTTAAACATTCTTAACCGAGAGCACATTAATTACTTTGATGATTTAAATAACATGAGATGCACGAGGCACTGTAGATGTGCATGCAATAAGTATTTAAATTGCTTTTTAAACTTTTACGAATCTCTCAATATCTTTGAATATCTCTTTAATCATTATCGTAAAACTATATTTATTGAATATACTTTTATTTATGAATTCTATTTATAATTGTATTTTATAATTTTCAATCTGTTTTTATAGCTACTAAAGTTTTACTTTTTAATATTTTAGTTAATGAAACATGTTCTGTTTTGTGGGTGATGTGTAGAAATTGTTTCTCAACAAGCTGCTAATTTTATAGAAACTGAAGATGAGCTTATTTTAGATATAAGTTGTTTTTTATTTTTTTTTTATTTTTTTGTTAGATAATCAAACATGTTTTACATGAATCTAATTATTTAGTACAGTGTTATTGTCTGGTGATGATATTCATGTTAGATTTTATTAAGTTGAATTTATCTTTAAAAAATCTTTTAAATTTACTTTTTTAGTTCCTAATTATTTAAATATTAAATAACAATATTTATGTTATTGTTGTTTTAATTATAGTCTCATAGCTTATCATATATTGTAAGTTTTAAATTTGAATATATCTTTATCCTAAGTTTTAAAGTTTGTATTTATTTTAATGTAATGAAAGTGTAATTAAATGTGTTTGATTTTCTAAGTTTTTGTTGAATTTGTTTTGAATGGGTTTCAAAGTGGAGGGGGGTACAATAGTCAATTTTTAATCTAGAATAGACAATAAGATTTTCCCTCTACTAAAGGGAAGGAATTACCTTTATCAAAAGTGCAGTTTAAGAAGTTATAGTGGGCAGTGGAAAATATATAACTACATCTACAAATAAAAGAGGTATGTATTTAGTATTTGAATTTGAAATAGTGATTGTATTTAGTTTTATATGTATATTTTTATTGATCTATTTATTAAGTTTTGTTTGTAAATAATTATACTCTTTCAAAAACATAATTTTTTTTTTCTTTTAATATTAATTTAGTTATAAATTAAGTTACATTTACAAAACAATTTGTTGAAAGTTGTACATTTTGTTTTTACACTAAACACCATAAAAATTTAAGTCAACAAAACATGCAATATTTTAGAAAGATTCAAGAGCTGCTGTGACAGTGTTTATGATACTCTATGTCAAAATAATATATTTTAAATAAAATTTTTTTAAATTAATTTTCATTATCACCGATTATTGCAGGTATTCATAGGTTTATTAAGTAATTGCAATATGAAAGAACTTTAATGAACTTTAAAAAACGTAACAAACTTATTATGAAAGAATTGTTCTTTATCAATGTGTCCTTATCTGTTCAAGAAAATATTATTGCTTTTAATTAAAAGGATCAAACTTAAGAAAAAATTAACGTTTTAATAATTTTTTTTTTTTTTTTTTTTTAGTTTGATTTAATGATTTTACCTTCATTATCTTGTGAAGGTAGAGTTATTTTTTTATGTTTTTAACTGCAAGAATTATGTATTGAAAACATTTTAAATTTAATTGTTATTTTATTTCTTTAGTTCTAACTTAGTGCTTTACAGACTATTTGTTTACTTTGTCTACTGTTAAAATATGGTTTTAACTTAGTAAGCTTTAATTATTTTAAGTTTACTATGTTGATCACTAGCTAATAGTTTAAATAGAAATTAGTTTTTTTTGCAATAAGGTAAGAATAACTTTAATTTCTGGTTGAATAACATTATTTTTTTGTATTTTTAGTTATAAGAAATTTTTTCTGTTACACATAAAGTATTTTTTCTTACAGGTTTTGATTGTTTAATCATCAACAGGTTAATTGGTTTGCAGTGCTATTTTGCCTTCTTTACATTTTTCATGTTATTATTTAATTTTGTGTCAATTTAGACATCTTACAATGTTTTTTAAGTATTTTGCAAAACGAATAGAGGGCCCACATCTCACAAGGTGTGGGTTCAAATTTAGGGCTGAAGCATCCCCCACCTCTTTATATATATGTACGTATGTTGAGGAGGAGAATGAGTGGGAGATAAAAAAACGCTGCATCTATAATTAGTACTTATGTTATAGTATTCTACCAATTGTTATACCATGTTATAGTATTCTACCAATTAAACCAAATATTGGTTAATCTACCAATCTTTTATTGATAATGCAAATTTTAGTCAAAATTATTTTGTAAACATACTTTTTTTTTTTGTATATTTTTATTGTTGTTATATGTTAATAAATTGATTTCCAGTTAATACATTAATTACATTAATGCAATACAGATTATATTTTGTTCCTTTAAAACATGTCAAA